GATAAGGGAGGTACTAATCACACTCTATAAAGCCTTATTAAGGCCACACCTGGAATATTCTGCATCCAGTTTTGCTCACTACACTATAAAAAAGAGGTTGAGACTCTGGAAAGAGTGCAGAGAAGAGCAACCAGGATGATGAGGGGACTGGAGGCTAAAACATACGATGAACGGTTCCAGGAACTGGGCCTGGCTAGTCCAGGGAAGAGAAGGACCAGGGGAGACAGAATAGCAGCCATCCAGTATTTGAGGGGCTGCCCCAGAGAGGAGGAGGAAGGGGTCAAGCTATTTTCCAGGGCACCCGAAGGCCAGACAAGGAATAAAGGATGGAAACTGAACAAGGAGAGATTTTTTCAACCTGGAAATAAGGAGGAATTTCCTGACATTTGAGAGCAATCAACCAAAGAAACAGAAGTTTCCTTTGGAAGTTGTGGAAGCTTCATCCCTGGAGGCTTTCAAGAAGAGACCGGACTGCCATTTGTCAGGAATGGTGTAGGGTCTCCCGCTTGGGGGGGGGGGGGTTGGACTAGATGACCTATAAGGTCCCTTCCAACTCTTGTTAACCTGACCTTCACATTTGAAGCATCCCACACCAGATAACCTCAATTTAAGGCATTTTTTTTTGGCTGAAATGTACAGGCCGAAGCATGTACTTCGGTTTGGCAAAAATGCCCCATAGCAAATGACGGCTTTGCTTAACCACAGTGTCATTTAACCACGATTTGCTTTATGACGGCCTTTTAAAATTGGGTCAGACACATGACTCATTTTATGAGCATCACAACTAATGACCGCAAAGGGTCCAGGACTCTCCGTATTCCACTCAGCTAGTTTTCTAAAGCAGCAGCGACGAAGTGACCATTACAATCCAGGATCCAGAGCATTCTGCCATTTCAAAGGGGGCCCCCACCAGGTCAGATTCGCCCTACACCTCCCCCTAGGAGTGTGCCCCCCCCTCAGCTGTTCCAATAAAGGCAGATCCTGTGAGCGAGACATTTATGATGTCACCTAAGTGTGAGACACAGCTACAAACTGCCCCTTCTTCCCCCAATTGGAGTCCTTCACAGGCGTGGACAGCTTTCAAGGCTGAAAACTAGAATTTCTGGGGAATGTTGGAGGCGGCGGCACTAACGGAACATGCCAAAAATTAGGAGCAAATGAGCAACATCCTTTCTGACCAAGAAAAATGTCATTAAAAGGTAGGGGGCGTGTTTGTGATTCAGTGCCTTCTAATAAAATGTCAGAAAAAAAAAAACACCCAAAACAATCCTTGGGGCCGTCTGAGCTTGCTGTGGTTTTTGTGCAAGCGTTTCACGATCCAAGCTAGGTAATATCAGTGCTAGGAGGGAGTGGGGTTTGCTCCCACCGCCCCCCACAAACGGGGCAAGACACAAGAATATAAACTGACAGTAAACCCCATTCCCTTCTAGCACTGACGACGTTACCTAGTTGGGTCATGAAACGTCTGCAAGGAAACCACAGCAAGCTCTGAGGGCAACAGGCCAACACTGAGCTGCAAATATTCTCCTTCACAGGTACCAAATGACCCTTTTGTCACTTTAAGGTTTAACCTAGTCTGAAAGGGCCAGTCTTTCAATGAATCCTGCCCGGAGGAGGCCTGCTGGCCAGGGAAATGCAGCAGCTGTCGAAAAAGAGAAAAGCCAGAAAGGAAAACCTCACCCAAAGGATGACATTATAAGGAGCAACGCTTAGAAGACCAGGTGTGGCAACGACTCCATCAGCCAGGAAACAGCCCAGTTTGCTGTATCCTTCTGGAAAGCAGTTTTCCTTCAAGCCATCCTCAGAAAGGGGGGGCCAGGGGTCAGGTTTGAAAAGGACTCCAAAGACCATCTAGTCTAACCCCATGCACTGGGCCACTTAAGTAGGGCCGGACTAGAGGTTGGACTGGATGACCTCCAGGGTCTCTTCCACTATTCCTTTTCCCCACCTCTTTCCCACTAAAGGTGGGGCGTGGGGACTCCCAGAAAAAGGGGAGACGGGACTCTTTTAAGTAAAGGACGAAAAAAATCCACCTGAGGCCGAGTCAAAAACCCAGATTTTCTTTTATTTCCACACATTTGCCGGCTCGTTGCTGGTCGGCCGGGCAGGGGAGGGAAGACCTGCAGGGGAAAGAGGGGGAGGGCAGTCAGACCCGACCTGGCTGACCCCGAACAGAGCCCCCACCCCACCCCAAGACACCCCCTTTTGACCCCCTCCCCATTGACCCCCCTCCTTTTAGCCCTCTCCCTCTTCCCCAACCCTCCCGTCACCTCCCCTCCCTCCCCCATCGACCCCTCCTACCCCTTCCCCACTTAACCCCTCCCCCTTACCCGCCCCCCTTCTTGACACCTCCCCTCCCTCCCCTCCCCCACTTAGTCCCCCCTTACCACCCACTTCTCAACCTCCTCCCCTCTTCCCCACCCCTCCCCTCCCTCCCCCATCGACCCCTCCCACCCCTTCCCCACTTAACCCCTCCCCCTTACCCGCCCCCCTTCTTGACACCTCCCCTCCCCCACTTAGCCCCCCCTTACTACCCACTTCTCAACCTCCTCCCCTCTTCCGCACCCATCCCCTCCTGTCACCTCCCCTCCCTCCCCCCCATCGACCCCTTCCCCTCTTAACCCCTCCTCCCCCTTCCCCCCATCGACCTCTCCCCCTCTTACCCCTCCCTCCCCCGGCGGGCCTCAGCGCAGCCTTCGGGCCTCCCTCTCGGACTCGAGCAGCGTCAGGACGTCCCCCTCGCGGACGGGGCCCTTCACGTTGCGGATGATGGAGCGACTGGTGTCGTCCATGAACTCCACGCGCACCTGAGACAGAGACAGAGAGCGGGGGGGAGACGTCAGGTAGACTGCCGCCGCCGCCGCCGCTTCCCCCGCCCCTCGGGCCCCGTGCTGCCCCCCCTCCCACCTGCGTGCACTGCCCCTGCGAGCCGGTCCGGCCGAGCACTTTGGTCACGCGGGCCAGCTTGATGGGCTGCACGCGGCTGGTGTCCATGACTGCACCCTCCTCAGGCGGCGGAAGCGGAAGAAGATCCCCTCGCGCGGGCCGCGCCTTTATATAGCCTCGGCGGGAAGCCTCGCGAGAAGTCGGCTCTCTGCGCGAGGGGGGCTCTTTCCCGGCAGGCCCCGCGCGGGGAACGTGTTTTTTTTTTTTTCCCTATGGCTTTCTTTGCAGAGGCTCGCTTGGCCCCGCCCCTCGCGCGGCTCCGGGCTGCCCTGCCACGCACGGCCGCAGGGGGCAGCAGAGAGACAGAGATTAGGCCCGGCTGGGAATCCCGCAGAGTACCTTGGCGAAGGTTGGGAATTCTGGGAGTTGAAGTCCACAAGTCTCAAAGGGGGCGGCCAAGGTTGCAGAGCCCTGCCGCACAGGGCTTATTTCCCACGCCTGGGATTTTTTAAACTTTATTTTATTTTATTTTATTCTTTATTTCATTTTTATAGTCACTCCCTGGCCTCGGAGGCTTTTATTTCATTGATTCACTTTTTTTTTTATTTTACAGGTAGTCCTCAACTTATGACCACAACCGAGCCCAGAAATTGATGTGGCGAAGTGAGGAATTTGTGAAGTGAGCGTTGTCCCATTTTGCAACCCTTTCTTGCTACCTCCGCTGCAGTTCTTAAATGAGGAACACCGTTATTATGTGCATCGGGGACCCTGCCAAGATCCAGATTTTAATCACATGCACGAGGGGGGGGGCTTTAGATAGATAGATAGATAGATAGATAGATAGATAGATAGATAGATAGATTTATTGTCATTGTACTCAGAAACCTGAGAACAACGAAATAAGGTGCTCTTCCACAACATACAACTGAACAACACCAAAAGACATATACAAATAACAATGTAAAACAAATTAAAACAAAAAAAAACAGTTAAAAACTGTACAACCAGGATATTATATATGTTAAGACCACCCGATTCATAACTCTGCATTTAACCTGATCACAGCACTTGGGTAAAAGCTATGTTTAAATCTACTTGCCCTGGCTTTCAGCACTCTATATCGTCTTCCTGATGGTAGGATCTCAAACAACGAGTGGCCTGGATGCGAAGGGTCTCTCAAGATCTTTTGAATCTTCCTTCTACACCCCATGTTGTACAAATCCTCCAATGAGGGAAGAGGACATCCGCTGATCTTTTGTGCCCTTTTTATCACTCTTTGGAGTGCCCTTTTCTCCGCCTCTGTACAACTCCTAAACCACACACAGAGGCAATAAGATAAAATGCTCTCTATAGAGCTTCGATAAAAGGCAACCAACAGACTCTCTGGCAGTTGTTATGATCTTAAAAGTCTTAAAAAATACAGTCATTGATAAGCCTTTTTTTCTAGGGCTAAAGTATTTGCCCCCCATGTTAGATCTTGTTTCAGGGTGATACCTAAAAACTTACAATCTGCCACCTGTTTAACAGCTTTGCGTGGGAAAAATGGTCATGTCCCTTTTTTCCTGTGCAGTTGTAACTTCAAACCGTCACCAAATGAACTGTTGTAAGTTGAGCACTATCTTATTCATTTATTCCAGGGGTCTTCACACTTGTCAGCTTTAAGACTTGTGGACTTCGACTCCCAGAATTCCTCCTCCTCCAGTCATGTTAGCTCAGGAATTCTGGGAGTCGAAGTCCACAAGTCTTACACTTGCCAAGTTTGAAGACCCTTGATTTATTCCATTCGTTCAGTTTATTAGCCAGCTTCTGAGAAATGACCTTAAGCGAAAGAATGCAAAATGAAAATTGGCGTTGCTTCTATGTATTTGCATTTCTTGCAGGGAATTCTGGGAAGTGGAGTCCACCCATCTCACCATTGGGGAGGTTGAAGGTATGTTTGGAATTTTTTTAAAATAACATTTTTTTTAAAAAAAAAAAGAAAGAAAAACACCGGCAATAAAAAAAAATGTGCATTTTGCTTTCCTTCCCTTTCATGCTTCCCTCCCCCCCTCCTCCCAGCATGCACCGCGCGAAGCCGCGCTTCGGCTTCTTCCGCCCTTCTCCCCGGCGTGCCGCTTAGCCCCGCCCACATAGGGGCGGGGCCCGGCGTCCCGCCTCCCTGCGTGCCCCGCGCAGGCAGCGCTCAACCTTGAAGCCAAGATGGCGTCGGCCACCAGTATCATCCGCCTTATCCGCAACTTTCTGGCCGGGGTAAGGGCAAGCGGGCGCGCCGGCTGGGCTCCCCAATTCCGCCTCCTCGGAAGGTCCGAGAAACGCCTGGCCGGCCCCTCCGGGCGTCTCCCCAACGACCCTGAGCGTGGGGCGGGGCCTCGCGCCTTAACCCCGCCCTTTCCCCCACGCGAGGAATTCTGGGGTCTGTAGTTTCCGTGAGGCAAATGGCCCTCCAGCTGGACCAATGAAGTAGTGGCCCCTTTTAGACTTCAACTCCCAGAATTCCTCAGTCAGCTTGGTGGATTCTAACAGGCTGACTAAGGGATTCTGGGAGTTGAAGTGTACCTAACCTAAAAATGGCTGCCTTTGAAGAAACACTTATAGATGACCTACATGGTCCTTTCCAACTCTGTTATTCTGTTATAGTCTTAAAATCTTCCAAATTTGGGGTTTGGGATATTTATTAGCAAGATTTGCATCCTGCCCACTTCCACACACTCCAGGGCATGTTGGCTGTGGAATTCTGGGAGTTGAAGTCCACCCACCTTAAAAATGGCTGCCTTCGAAGAAACACGTACGGGGGTTGGACTAGATGACCTATGGGCTCCCTTCCAACTCTGCTATTCTATTTTAGTCTAGTTTGTTCCATGCTAGCTGCGGAATTCTGGGAGTTGAAGTCCACAGTCTTAAGGAGAGGTACAAGTGTACAAGGCCAAGTGTAACTATTTAAACATTTCCAAAGGAGCTTTTTTTTTCCCCAAGAGACAACTGGACTTTCTGTTTTTTTTCTTTGAAGACGTTTTGCTTCTCCTCCAAGAAGCTTCTTCAGCTCTGATAGACACTTCTAAATGGTGAGGTGAGAGCTGAGTAGTGGATGTTTGGACGAAAGGTGCCAGGAGCTGCTTTATGCCTTTTAAGGTCTCTTAAGGAAGGAAGGAAGGAAAGAAGGAAAGGAGGGAGGGAGGGAGGGAGGAAGGAAGGAAAGGAAGGAAGGAATAGCACTTCCGCCTGCTATTTGGTCTTTCCACCCCTGGCCATAATTTGAGGGGTTTTACTAATAGCAGGATTATTATTTGTTAAATTTACATGCTCCTTCCCGTCTCTCTGGCCAGAGCGACTCTGAATGGCAGAGGATTAACCATGCTCAGGAGATCCTCAACTTACGAGCACAATTGAGCCCAAAATTTCTCTTGTTAAGTGAGCTTTGCCCGTTTTACGGCCTTTCTTGCCTCGACCGTTAAGTGAATCCGTTTTCCCCTTTGACTTTGACGCAAAAGGGGAATCACGGGACTTTTGGACACCGCAACGGTCGTGTGAACCCGTTCCCAAGCGTCTGAATTCTGATCACGGGACCGCGGGGGTGCTGCAAAGGTCGTAGCTATGAAAAATGGCCATAAGTCACTTTTAACTTTGCACCGTCACTAAACGAACTGTTGTAAGGCAAGGACTACCTGTACTCTTATTGAACAGCTCTCAGTTGAGAGAGTCCCTGGGTTTATTCTGACACTTGAACAGACTTTGTGGGGGTTTTTAAATTGTTGTCAGGAATGCGGTGGCTCAGATGTAGAATGAAATAGTCTTTATTGGCCAAGTGTGATTGGACACGTGAGGAATTTGCCTCCTGTGCAGAAGATCTCACGTGTACACACCAGCAACGAAGTGACAGGTCATCAATTATGGTTACGATCATTAATCATAAGATACAACAAGAAGTAATGAATCATAGGTACCAATAGGAGAAGGATGAGAAGGATAATTGTAATTCAGCCCTACTACACGGGTAAATATCTTTAGGCCCAAGACAAACCTTGTTTGTGCCTCGATGTAACGCCCCATAGAACTTAAAGCAGTTTATGTCCAGGATGAAAAGGGCCTGCAGATAGTTTCTCAGCCCTCTTTCTGACCTGTACAATATACAGGTCTTCTATCATTTCTTTCTGCAGTCCTAACTATCCCTTGACATCTATACCTGTCCTGCTTGGTTGCTGTGCCAAACCAGACAGTTACGGAGGTAGAAATGACAGTCTCTATGATTTCTTCCTAGAACTTTTATCTGCAGCTTCGTCTTCTTTTTTTTTTGCGCTTGAGATTATTGCACTTAAGATGAATAGCTTCACTCACTCAGTCATTCTCTCTTTCTTTCTCTCTCTCACAGCGGGACCTCCAAGGTAAGCTGCAGCTGCGCTACACAGAGATCTCCAAGAGGTAATTCTGGGCAGGATGTAAGAAAAAGCTCCGGACTTCAATGGTGGCTCCTCTCCACAAGAGAGCAGCTGTGGGTCAGAGGCTTTAAAAGCCAGCCAAGTGTGTGGGTTGGTTACGGTGCTACTGGAGGAAAACTATTTACACAATTGGAACCTTAGATAACGGGGGTGCCTGTGTAATTGTCTACTGTGTAATTGTCAGCCATCCAGGCCATGGTCGTCCCAAAGGCACTTTTTTTGCAAGAGGCAACTGAACTTTCTTGTTTTTTCTTTTGAAGAGGTTTCACTCCTCCTCCAAGAAGCTTCTTCAGCTCTGGCTGGATAGTGGGGAACGGAAGGATTGATACTCCTTGCAGGCAGCCGGTCGTTTGCATCCTTTTGGAGGGTCCTTGAGGCCCCTCAGAAGTTTATCTGTGTCCTCGGGGTCAGCGAAGCGATGCAAATGGTTCCTGGAGTGTGGCATTTTTTTCTAGAAATCCGTTTATACTCCTATACCATTCAAAGGGGGTTCAACCCAAAGTGCACAGCTAACAGTCTCCAGTCAGAACTGAAGAAGCTTCTTGGATGAGAAGTGAAATGTCTTCAAAGGAAGAAAGCAAAGTCCAGTTGCTTCCTGAAAAAAAGCCCCTTTGGCTCTGTTCTGACTGAATTGCACAGTCTTAAGTCTCTGTTCTACCTGCGCAGCCGTTTTATGGGCTCCACAACTCTCATCCCACCAGGCCAGAGGGCGAAGCCATCGGGGTCAGTCCAGCCAAGAGGAAGGCCATTGGATGCTTCGGATGCAGCCCACCGTCCACTCGGCTCGAGGCTATTGATCAGTTTGGCCGGAGAAAGTCCCAGCTGCCATTGTCCCAAAGGTGTTTTTCCGAAAGGGCAACCAGACTTCCTCGTTCTTTTTTACTTTTTCCTCGAAAACGTTTCCCTTCTCACCCAAGAAGCTTCTTCCGTTCTAACCCAATGGCATTAGAATGTAAATTAGAACGGAAGAAGCTTCTTGGGCGAGAAGGGAAACGTTTTCGAGGAAAAAAAAAAACACAGAGAAAGTCCAGTTGCCTTCGGACTAGGAATAGAAATAGGGAAGAGTAGGAAGGGATGGAATGGAATAGGAACAGAATGAGTTGGAAGGGACCCTGGAGGTCTTCTAGTCCATCCTCTCACCCAAGCAGGAGACCCTGTAGCATTTCAGACAAACGACTCTCCAATCTCTTCTTAAACGCCCCAGAACTTCTGGAGGCAGGCAGTTCCACCGGTTCATTGTTCCCACGGTCAGGATTCTCCTTTGTTCCAGATTGCTTCTCCGCTTGATTTTGGAAAAAAACACCTTTGGGACAACCATGACCTGGATGGCTGACAGTCTCCACGGAGGCCCAGTTATTACGACGACTGGCATCTCGTGACGGTGTTAGAATAGAATAATACCTTTAATGGTCACTTTGAATCTGCGCTCTTCGGCCTACATGAAAAGATGAATATTTTTTTTCCTTTTAATTGGGGGAGCCCCCTGCCTGCTTCAGACCCCAGTGGGTGCAGGGTCCGCCCAAGCCCCCTCCCCACCTTGGAAGTCCCTTTTGTGACTCCTGGGAAAGGATGGGGCCCCACCCTTGGAAGAGAGGATGCGGTCAAGCCAGGACGTCCCTTCAAGGGCCTCTTCATTTGGGTGGATATTTTTATTCCCAACCCACCCCCCACCGTCTCCTTTCCGCACACTGACCGTCGCCTTCCGCTTCCTGCTTGGTAGGACCCAGCCGCCCCCCAGCCTCCCCGTGGGACCCAGCCACAAGCTAGCCAACAACTACTACTGCACGAGAGACGGGCGCAGGGAGGCCTTTCCGCCCATTGTCCTCATGGCGGCCCAGAAGAAGCTGGCGCCCGGAGCGGAAGCAGGAAGGTAGGCCTCCCCCTCCCCGGTCTTCGGCAACCCCACACGGAGATCCAAGCAACGAAGGCCTCTCTGGCCAAAAAGGGCCCGCTTTCCTTCCTTCCTTCCTAGGGAAGCCTCGCGGGGAGCCCAGGTAAACAGATCCTCGTTTGCCGTCGCCCTTTTCCGGCTTTTTGAACGTTGAGCCACCTGGCCGAACCTCCAAAGCTCTTGGCTACGTGTGGAAGAATTCTCCTTCTGGGTTCGGTTCCAAGCGGGGTGGGAAAAAGACACTGGAAACATGGAGGCTGTTTGGGAAGATGGTTTAATGGTGGACAGGACCGCGTGGCTTGGAGCTGCAAAGGAGGAAAAGGGCTGAGATGCTGTGAGGGGTGCTGGCTTTTATACCCTCTGTTGGGATTTTGAATTGGAGGTTGTACTCTGATGGGCGGTCAGACTCCCACGGGGCCATGCAAGGGCAATTTGTAGGCTGTCCTGAGTCCCAGTTGAGTCTTGCTGGGTGATGATGTCACGAGAAGGGCTTTGGGGAATTCCTATTAGAGCCCCACCTGGAGTAGATCTTTGTTATGTAGAATAGGCTGGCCCAGACCTTAATGGCCCACTCGTTAACAAGAGGTCAGGGTGAGTTTCTGCTTCTGAGTTTCTGCTCTTTTTTAGTGGGAATATTCTGCCTTTTTTTTAGTATATCCTAAAATATTTCGTTTTCCTAGGAGAGGGGCGGGTTTTAACAGCTATTTCGGCGCTTTCGAAAGGGATGCTCCAAGCCTACCCCTCTTGCAACAGGAACATGCTTTGTGGAGAGGGGAATTTAAAGGCCTCCACACACACACTCAGATTTTCCCTGGCTTGGTTCTCAAAAGCTGTGAGGTTTCTTGCTTGGGAAGCTGGGGGAGAGAGAGAGAGAAAGAGGCCTTTTATTTACGTTATTTATGGCCGTTTGGAGCCGCCCTTTTCTCTTTAAGGTGTGCCATAAAACAATTTAAAGCATTGTTGCAAGAATTATCCTCCTGGGTTCAGTTCCAAGTGGGGGAAAAAGACACTGGAAACATGGAGGCTGTTTGGAAGGTTTAATGGTGGACAGGACCACGTGGCCTGGGGCTCCCGAGTGAAAAGGAAGGATGATCACATGCTCCAAGGTGAAGGAAGAGATCAAGAAAGAAGGGCCGATATGCTGAGAGTGCCCGGATTTTATAACCTCTGTTGGGATTTGAATTGGGAGCTTGTATTCTGATGGGTGGTCAGACTCCCAGGGGCAACTCTGTAGGCTGTCCTGAGTCCCAGGCTTGGTTGAGCCTTTGCTGGATGATGCACTGAAAGGGTTTTGGACAATTGCTGTAGCTTTACCTGGAGATCTTTGTTATGTAAAGTATTCTTACATAATGGCCCACCCATTAACAAAGGTGGGGGTGAGTTTCTGCTTCTGAGTTTCTACTCTTTTTAGAGGAAATATTCTGCCTTTTTAATATTTCCTAGGATATTTCAATTTTCTAGGAGAATGGGGCTGGACCAAGACGGTAGGACTGGGCCAGCCACTCTTACTTATTTATGTTTGTTTTGTTAAATGTATTAAATTTCTATGCAGCTCGTCTCCTCTATAAGGCGATTCAGCTTTTCATGCCTAAGGTGGGACTAGAACTCACCTATCCTGGCTAAAAGTGACCCAGCCAGCTTTCATACACCATCACCTGGTGATTAGCCAAGTCTCTTAACCAGCTTTCATACTTAAGGCAGGACTAGAACTCACTGTCTCTGGCAATAGTCCAACTCTCCCAGCCAGTTTTCATGCCTAAAATGGGACTGGAATTCACCCTCTCCTGGCGACAGGCCCAAAGCCACCCAGCTGCCTTTCGCTCCCAAAGCAGGACTAGAACTCACTCGCCTGGTGCCTTGCCCACCAGAACAGGGGTCTCCAACCTCCGTGGACTTAAGACTTGTGAACTCAACTCAGCAAAGCTGGCTGAAGAATTCTGGGAGTTGAAGTCCACTAGTCTTAAAGCGGCCAAGGCTGGAGACCCCAGCCCTGGAACCAAGGGGCTCTTCTCATCCGAGCTGACAGCCTGGGGACGCACCCAGCTTGGGGAAAGTGTTCATACAGCCTCTGACTCTCCCCTTTTCTGACCCACAGCTCCGACTCTTCCGTCGCGAGGACGGAGAAGCTGCCCGTGACCCCTGGCATCCCCCCTCGGAAGTGGGAACTGTCCAAGGACGAGCCCTATTTGTGAGACTGTCCCCCGGGGGCTCCAAGGCGGGGTTGCTTGAGAGCAGCCAGTCGGGTCTGGGTACTTGCTAGGATGAGCATCACCACCGAAGGACTTTTTTCTCCACCTGGACTAATTAAATAAATGCAACCCATGATGTAACTATTAAGTTGTACGTGATTTTAAGGGGCGTGTTGGGCTGGGAAAATAGAATTTGAGGAGCAGATGTTGGAATCGTTAACCCAGCTCTAACAGCCAGAATAAACGAAGGCACAAGATATTGGTTAAGAGTGGATTCATTTATTAAATTTCTACCCCGCCCCATCTCGCCTGACTGCAGCTGGGAGACAGCCTCACCCTTCATATAAATACAGACATAAATTAAAAACAGAATGGAAACAGGACCACAATTGAGCCCAGAATCTAAGTTGCTAAGTAAGGTAAGGGAGCTATGCCCCATTTTACAACCATCTTCACCACAGTTAAGTGAATTGCTGCAGTGGTTAAGTTTAGTCCCACGGTCTTTAAGTGAATCTGGCTCCCCCTACCCTATTGACTTGGATCTTACGACCCGAGGGACACTGCAAGAAATATGAGCAGCCGGATGTTGATCGTGTGGCCATGGGAGAGGCTGCAATGGTTGTCTGGAAAACAGCCCCGAGTCCCTTTCTCCGGTGCCGTTTTAGCTTTGTCACTAAACGAAGTGACAGAACTACCTGCACAACTTTCCAAGATATGAAGTATAAAGGTATGGCAAATGGATGGATGGATATAGATAGATGACAAAGATGATAAACAGATATAAAGATAGATATAAACAGATACGACAGATGGTAAACAGGTAAAGATAGATGATAGATATATAGATGATATAAACAGATGAGCGATAAACATAGATGACAGGTTGTACTACCTGTACAATTTTCAAGATAAAAAGTATCAGGGTGTGGAGATTAGATTAGTTGGATGGATGGATGCATAGATAGATATAGAGATAGATATAGATGATATGATAAACAGATATATAAACAGGTATGATGATAAACAGGTAAAGGGATATATAAACAGATGAGATAAACGTATAGATAAGCATAGATGGCATGATAAGCAGATGATATAAACAGGTGACGTGATAAACATAAAGACAGATATAGATGGCATAATAAACGATATAAAGATATAGATGGAGGATAGAATTAGACAATCATACCAGATAATAGAGATGATTGACAGATCGTGTGTCCCCCCCCCACACACACTTTCCCAATATGCAGGGCTGGGGTTGACCAAAGCAAGCGGCCCGATTTCTGACACCCCAAACGGATCAGGTCGAACCTCCTCCCTCCAGCGGAGCGGCTGCTTTGAGCCCCTAAGGCTGCCCCCAAATAACCCAGGAGGAGACACACACCCCCCCCCCCCCCCCCCCGCTTGCTAAGACAGCCGCTGCCATCTGGGAGGGACCCTGGCCGAAGCTTGTCCCGGAAAGCGGGCTGCCGAGCACAAGCCGAAGACTTTCGTCGGTAGACTGCTCCTGAAGCAGGGGGCTCTTCTTTGCTGTTTCCCCCCACGCCAAATCCCAGCGAGTGGGGGGAATCGGCTGAGCCCAGGGGCGGGGGAAGCAGCTGGAATTGCCTCCCCAGACTCAGCAGCCTCGATTTGCAACCGGCAGCCGCCCCCACCGGGACTCCGCCGTGCAAAGGACCCGAAGCTCACGCCGCGGATCCTTTCCCGCGGGGAGAGACTGCGCATGCGCTTTCTAACCGGCTGCACGCTTCCTCCCCTCCGCACGCGCGACTCGGAGGCGCGGCTCCTCCCCCCCGCCCGCGCCTTCTTCGCTATTGCGCAGGCGCGCTCCTTCTTCGGCGGGTTGCACGCTGGCCGGGCGTTCAGTCGGTCAGGCGGCGGCCGCGGAATCATGACGCGGTTTCTTCTCTTCTTGCTGCTGAATTGGGAGGCCGGTGAGCGGAGGGAGAGTGGGAGGAGGGAGAGTGGGAGGAGGAGGAGGAGGAGAGGATTTTTTTCCCACACAACGGGCTCATTCATGCCCTCAAACACGTCCCGCGGGCGCCGATTGGTCGAGCCCCCATCCCCGGCCCCGCCCAGCAGGCGGCCATTGGCTGTTCTGCCGCCCCACCTCCTCTGGGCTCGTTTTCCACGCCCCCGGGCCGCACGTGCGCCGATGCCCCCTCTCGTGCGTCCCCCCGCCCGCCCTTTTCCAAGGTCAGAGGTGAGGCCGTTGCCTGGTTGCCAAGGGGAACGGGCCTACCTGCCCAAGGGGGGAAAGACGAGCCTTCCTCTAGTTAAAGACACCCCCCCAAAAAAATCCCAGAGTCAAAAGTTTTTGCAGCGACCTGAAAGGCTTAAATGAAACGCTAAGAGGGCGGGGGATGTAGATTTAGCCCACCCCCGCCCCAGCTTCTCTTAGCAGGTGCATTTGTGCAGTATTTGCCTCGCTCCTTGTGGCTCCTCTCCTCATGCAGGAGTCCTTAGTCTGGCTCCCCGCGCTCTTTTCATTGATCTCTTTCAGTGCCTCGGGAAGGGTTGGACTCCCAGACCCAGAAGCCTCAGCCAGGGCCGTCTCAGTCCAGCCTTCCCAATGGAGGCCCAGGATTCCCACTGCCCCCCCCCCCCCCCCCCCCCGCCTTAGATCCTTTGCATTTCAGACATTGGCCTGGAATGGTCTCGGCTCTAGTCCCCTGCTTGAGCAGCGGGTTGCACTAAATGACCTCCGAGGTCCCTTTCAACCCCGTCCTGTGCTTCTGTAAGGGTCTCCTGCGTCAGCAGCGGGTTGGGCTAGAAGACCTCCAAGGTTCTTTCTGCCTCTCATTTTCTCATTCCCATAAGGGCCTCCGGCTTGAATGAGGTGGAGATAATCTCTGAAGTCCCTTCCAACTCTGTCCTCCTAGCAGCAGGTTGGACTAGATGACCTTCAAAGGTCCCTCCCAGCTCTGTTATTCTGTGAAATGTAATACTTCTGCATTTCCTTCTGCAGATGAGGATGGGCTCTGGATCCCTAGATTGGAGGGGTCCCCTTTGGGCCTTGGCTTATAGCCCCCCCCCCATCAACCAAAGGGGGTTGGGGCTGCCCCAGCTCTTTTAACCCCCCCTCCCCTCCTTTGCTTCGATTCCCTCCCCAAAGAATAAGTGGGGAGCAATTAAGCCACTGCAAAATAATTAGCACCCGAACCTAATTAGAGATTAAAATACAGCAGCAAAAGCTTTGCAAGCATTGATTGTGTGCCCCTCCCCAAAAAGATGGTCTCTAACACCATCTCCAAGGAGGGGGGCCCCCCTCACCCCTTCCCCATTGATGCTGGTCCCTTCCACCCTTCCCAGCCTGGGGGGCTTCTCAGAGGAGTTCAGGTTTTGCATTGATTGACAGATTGCCATCAAGTTTGCTCTCAGCAACGGGATCTCCAGGTGTGCCACTGAGGCTTCACAGGATCCAGGTTTTCCAGCCCAGGAGTTTCTTTTAGGAAAAACCCAGATTGGCCTCGTAGGAAGACTTGTGCTTGTGAGCTGCCCAGGATCACCATGGGAGGAAGGCAGCCGTAGAAGTATATATCTGAATAAATACAGCCCTACGACCTCTTGTTAGAGTCACACTCTCTAGCTGTGATTTGGGTTGGTCCACAAAACATTGTTTTATTTCACCCTGCCAACAAAATAAATAGTGGTTAGTTAATGATTACTTCCCTGGTAAAGATTCAAGGTCAGAGTTGCAAGAAGCGCTTTTCTGGAGGGGCTACGGTGTGTTTCTTGAAGGGCCATTGTACAGGATTCACCGTTCTCCTGTTTAAGCGGGGGGCTGGACTAGGAGACCTCTGAGTTCCCTTCCAACTCTCTTATGTAAAGAGTGAGTCACTGGGCCGAAAGACTTGCAATGAGGGGGCGGGGGGAAAGGCAGAGAATATAACTGAATTTACTCCATTCCTTTTGATTCTTGCACTTTCATCCTTTTTCGACACCTTTGCCTCTCTTCCAACATCTGATCAGCCTCCTCCACTCGCTGTTTTCTCTCTTCCTTTCTGCCTGCAGGCCTCTCCTCTTCCTCCTGCCCTCTCGAGAGCTTCCAGTGCCAAGGGGGAGGCCAGGTGCCGCAGTGCCTAGGCTACGAGAGGCAGCCCAGCTGCCAAGATGACACGAACAGGTGCCAGCAGCCGGGAAGCCTCTGCAGGAACCACACCTGTCGGTGCGGTAACAGCGGTGGGCCCTGCCTCCCATTTGAACGGTTTTGCGACCAGCACCTGGATTGTCCAGATGGTTCAGACGAGGCCAAGTCCCTTTGTGCGTCCCCGGCGGGCCTGCGCGAGGAGGAGGAGGACGACTGCGAGAGCACCGAGTTCCGATGCCACCCGGGGGCCGAGTGCTTCCCCCTGTCCTTCAAGTGCGACGGCCACCCGGACTGTGAAGACGGAGCCGACGAAGAGAGCTGCGGCACGGATTGGCCAGAGACTCCAAGGACCCCACAAATAACCCCCCAAGGTGGGCTGAGCTGTGGTCCGATTTTGGGGTGCCAAACGGCGTTTCTGCTGGCCGGTCTTTTGTTGAATTGCAACTTCGTTTTGTAGGCAATCCGGAACGAGCTACCTTTGCCCTCGTGGTGTCCGCTTGCTGAAGCTGCACCTCGCTCGCTGTTCGGTTATATTTTGTATTTCGCTGTACGCCGCTTGTGATTATATGCTCTTTATAACTCCCAATCAACCGGGTTAAAGTAGTCTGTAGATTAGAAATATGCCTTGTGTAGCTGGCTGGGAACGAGAGACGCTTGGGGGCAACTCCTGCCAATGCTTTTTGCTCTCTTTTTTTTTTCCCTCTACATTCTGCATTATTTTTAACCAGAAAGAAATTAGCAGGATGGGACTCTGTTGCTTCCCCTGTTGTTCCTGCATATATCTTCACCCTGTGCTTCATTTGGGGAGAGATGAAGGAAGTTTAGAAGCTCCCGTGAGAATCCCACCCTCCGCGGTGGTTTCCCCCCTTTGGGCAGAGCCGTGTCCTTGGCACCTGGAAGGGCACAATGGCATCTCCTGGAGGAGGCTGCCAGCCAGGTTCTGCCAAATTACCTTAGAATTTGATTTAGAATTACTTGAGATTTCAAGGTATTCTGAGGGAGCCTGCAGAGGTTACCACGTCCCTCTTTTTTTATTATTTTTTTAACAGCAGCACGAAAAATGGGTGTGTGCCCACCCTGCGCCCAGTTCTAGTGCTGAAATAAAGTAAATGGGAGCATTTGGGCATCTGCGTTCTGTTCATTCTTCTCATCTCCGGTGCTGATTCGGGATCAGTTCTTCCCTTCTGTAAATCTGTTCTTATCTTTTGCATTGGGCTGATTTGGAGAATGCCGGGAGAGAGAAAAATTAAATTTCACCGCCCAGACCTAAAGCTTGCTGTCTTTGGCTCTTGGGGTGGGAGTCCTGAATTTCCGGCTTCTACACCGGGTTCTGCCTGGGCCAGAGTCCACCCAAGGGATCCACAGCAGGGAGTTTGCCAACGACTGCGGCCCACTCCCCTTACATTCTGACCCTGGCTCTTCCCCTTCCCCCCTCTTTCCTCGGGGTGACTTCTGCTGCCTTCTGCTGCCTCTAAGTAATTGGGAAGCTTAATTCAGTATCTCTCTAATCTTAATGCCTTTAACTCTTAATCCACATCTGTCATTTACGGGGGTTGGTGTAAATTGGACTTGACAGCGTTCCCCTTTCCTTTCTTGGCCTCATTCCCTACCCCCTTTGGTGTGCCGAATGCCGCTTGTCCCACCTACGTGCAAAAAGGACAGGCGCGTTTTCGGTCTCTCCTGTTCCTCACATCTTTGCTTAGGCGCGTCTTTAAACCCACCCTGCTTTTAAAAGACCCTGCCCGAATCCTGCTTTTAGCCAAACCCTATCAGAATACATATCAGGATATCCTGAGATTTTTTTTTTTTTTTTAAAAAACCTTTCCTTACAAGATGAATTTAAGAAATAAATAAATGAAATCGGGAGAAGTCCAGTAGCACGTGTTCTGACTTTTTTTAAAATTTTATTTAAAAATGAAAACAAGCTGCAGATCGAGGAAGTTCTGCCTTTTCGTAAACGTTGGGGAAATTCGATTAAATGCTGTTAAATCCCTTTGGAGGTTTTTGCCCCTCCAGACTTAAACCCAGCTCTCTGCCTTACACGGAGATGCTTGAAATAGTCCGGCTGCCTCCCCTCCGACGTGGGTCTCTTGGCCCTAAATGTGCTGACAGGACCAATGTCCAAGGCAGGGCTGTCCCACCTGGGCCCCTTCTGCGAGTTGAAGTCCACAGGTCTTAAAGGGGCCCAGGTTGGACACCCCCCTGATCTAAAGGTTGCATCCCCAGATCTGGGTAACCGCGGTCCCCGTAACCCACCGGTGGGACGCACCAGGGCCGTTCAGGGAGGCGGCTGATGGCCAGCCTGCCGGCCTGAGAGGAAGAATCCAGAGGGAAGGCGCTTGGTCCTTGGAGGGTCTGACTATTTATCGCCTCCCCGAGTTGCACAATCATTCCGGTTTGGTCTGACCTGACTCCCCCAAATTTTCCCAAGCCATAAATAACTGCTTGCAGCAATCGTGAGTTCCTCCCAGGATGTCTGTTTTTGTGAGATACCTCGATGAAGCCGGCTGGTCTTTTTTTCTGTTTTTGCATCCTGGTGCTTCTGTTTGTTTTGTTTCCTGTGTTATGTTTTCCTCCTGGGCCCCTTGTCCTCCTCAAAAGGCCTTCTGACTTGGATGGCCTCTCGGTTTCTCGGTGTGTCAGCCCCTCTCCACGGCCCCGTCTCTCTCCAGATTGCTTTGCTAAGCTCCTCGTGTCTGTTTCTTTCAAGGAGCGAATTGTTTCTTCTGTACGTTAGCCCATTTGAGGTACCCAACGCTTCCCTGTTCTGCCCAGGGAAAGGCTGTAAGAATAAGAGTTTCATAGAGATGGATGGATGGATGGATGGAAAGTGATAGGTAGGTAGGTGGGTAGGTAGGTAGATAGATAGATAGATAGATAGATAGATAGATAATAGAGAGAGAGAGATGTAGGTAGGTAGGTAGGTAGATAGATGATAGATAGATAGATAGATAGATAGATAGATAGATAGATAGATAGATGATAGATAGATAGATAGAGAGAGAGAGAGAGAGAGAGAGAGAGAGAGAGAGAGATAGATAGATAGATAGATAGATAGATAGATAGATAGATGTAGGTAGGTAGGTAGGTAGATGACAGAGATAGATGATAGATAGATAGATAGATAGATAGATAGATAGATATAGATAGATATAGATAGATGGATGGATGGATAGATAGATAGATAGATAGATAGATAGATAGATAGATAGATAGATAGATAGATAGATAGGTAGATGATAGGCAGGCAGGCAGGCAATTGGATGGATGGGTGGATAATGATGGATGGATGGATGGATAATAAAAGAAATGAATAGATGATCGGTAGATGATGGATGGATGGATAGAGATAGATAATGATGGATGGGTAGGTTAGATGTAGATAGATGATAGAGAGAGAGAGAGAAAGATAGAGATAGATAGATGATTGACAGAAAGAGCAAGAAAGAGATTAGCACAAGTCATGAACTCAACATACTTAAATGCATCTCTGTGCTAGTCTCTTTATTTTTTTCCCACAATTCATCCTTAATCCCATCCTAACATGGAATAAAATTCCGTTTTTATTTATCCCCCCCACACACACACACACACACGTGTATTACATTAATGTCTGTTTTTTCTTCGACAGGCAGCCCTGTTCCCCCAGAAACCCCTTCACTGGACCTCTTGACCATCATGGCCATTGTCGGTGAGTCAGACCGGCCAGGCGATCTCCACGTCCCACCCCCACAGAATTGGCAAAAGGTTCTGGTTTGCAATGCCGAAACGGCCTCA